CCTTGACTCTCCGTAACGCCCACTTTGACCCATATGATCCAACCCTGGTTCATACGTTGACAGTTAAAGACACCTAGGACAAAAAGCAGCTTCTCCATTGAGTACACATTCCCACCCAATACACCTGGTCTGCAGACCTTGGTTGCATGCCTATAGGGACGTGGAACTCACTTCTCCACAAACTGGACAGAGATTTCTCTCTCTGGAATCTATTTCTCACCGGGTTTGCTCTCTGGGCCTAACAATGCCATATCACTTTGTCAGGGACCTGAGATCCTGACCAGGTCCCTGAGTCTTCTCCAAGGGACATGGGCTCATCTTCCTGGTGAGGCGCCTCTAAGCAGATTCCATCTTCTGGCGACTGGGCATGGTTCTCTCTAAGTGGCTGGACCATCTCAAAAGCTAGAGCAGCTGGTCCCAGCTGGCACCAGGACCTCTGGGCCCCCAGATGATTTGCACAGCTGCACCCTGAGCAGCTGGTCCTTGGAGCTACTCACAGGACCCCACCCGCCCCCCATAATCTGGTAACCCTCTTGTCTACTTTGCTGTCATAGGGCGAGCAGAGGACTTTGAACAGGGGACCCTGCCTCCCTAATTGACCCCTTCCAGAGTGGATCTACCTGCAAGACTCTATCGTAGTTTCTGACAAACACGTTGTTCCAGGCAGGACCAGGGACCAGCACTCAGACGCTATGAGAATCCTGGCAGGGTCGCCAGTCCCACCTCCTCACCACGTTCTTGGACGTGGCTGTTTAATGAACCACTGAGCACCTGGCCTTTTTTTCTGTCTTATCTACGAGAATGTCATGAGATCTCCTGGCTGGAGCCCCTGTCATCTTTGATGGGTAGTTACCCGAGCAAGACCAGGGGGTGAACTCAGAGGCTTGCCACCGTCTTTTCTAGCGTTCTGTGTAGCATTTCTAAAATGTCTTATTAGAATGCATGTGAAACTTACTAGCTTAAGCCCAAATGAGCTTTTTAGCTCCTTTCTGAAAGCAGGGGCAGGGTGCTAAGATTTATAAAGGCCCGTTATTGACGGCCATCATTCCTCTGAATCTTCATCTCAGCTTTGTGTGGGAGGATTATGGTTGGTGCGTTCAAGATGAGGGAACAGAGCCCAGGGAAGGGAAAGACCGCACGCAGGGGAAGGGCTGGGACTCAAACCAGGATGGCCTGACCCCTCCTCCGGCCTTTCCCACATGCTGCTACCAGTCCTCAGCGCCTGTCCTGTCCCTGGGAGCAGTCTTATCTCCTGACACCTGAGGGTGACAATCTGCCCCTCCCTGTGTGCCATGTACAGGACGGGGGAACAGAATGGGGTCTTGGGGAAGGAAGATGGCCCCCGCAGGGGATGTGAGACTCAATCAGGAGGGGTAGGCGGCTCCATGGGCGGCTCATCTGCTTGGTATTTTTTAATAGGTATTTTTAATTTGGTGGGGGGTGGGTCTGGTTGTAAAAGCAGTACCGTCTGTGGTTGGAGATCCAAGAGTCATCCTTGATTCCTCTCTAGCACCCAGCTCTTGGGGAGCAGCTCAGCCTCCTCCACTGAGAAGCTCCAGAGAACTGTAAACGTGGAGGAAACATCACCACACGTCCCTGGTTAAAACCCTTCAGTGACTTTTCATGGTGTTTGGGATATAAGATCCCCAACCCTCACCTAGGCCCTTGGGATCCCAGCCTCCCTCACGCCTCAGTTCCACCACGTACCTGCAAAGGCAAACTCTTCAGGAAGATGGTCTCTGATCGTCTGGCTAGAGGGTCCCCCAGCCCCACCCCAAGTATTCTCTCACCTCACCAGGTCTTATGGTCTTCATTGCGCTGGTCACTCTTTGGAATTATTTATTGATTTGCTTCTCATTCTGTATCCCTTGACCTCATAACAATATCAAATGAGTCTGTTTTGCACCCCAGTGAAACCCCAGCACCTCTAATACACATACCTACATTTAGCAGGTGCTCAGAAGAGTTTTGTGAATGAATGAAAAAGTTACACAGAAACTGAGCACCGTGCGTGGCGCACGCCTGTAATCCCAGCGTCTCAGGAGGCTGAGGCAGGAGGATTGCGAGTTCAAAGCCAGCCTCAGCAACTTAGCAAGGCCCTGAGCAATTCAGCGAGACCCTCTCTCTAAATAAAATACAAAATAGGGCTGAGGATGTGGCTCAGTGGTTAAGTGTCCCTGAGTTCAATCCCTAGTACCAAAAAAAAAGTAACAGAGAAACATGTAAAGGAGAAACAGGAGATGATGCAATTGTGGTTACTGGAGCAGTTAATGATATAACAATTGTGTGCATGTAGTGTACGCATAAGCCGGAAGTCACCTGCCTTTTAAATGACAGGTTTGGGATGCTTGGGCCGGAAGCACCACAGCTGTGGGAGACACACGTGCGTGAACACATGCCTGGTTCCTTCCGTAGCCATGTGACCTCGGGTGAGGTCTTTCAGCTTTAGGGCCTCAGTTGCTCACCTGTGGACGGAGGCTGCCTGCCTGGAGGCAGGAGCCCGGATGCCACAGATGCCACGGTCTCCTGAGGTCAGCCTTTGCCTGTGGCTGGAGTCCTGCGGGCAGCGGGCCCCAGAGCCTGCCTGCAGGGGCTGGAGGTGTTGATTGAAGTCTACCTCCACACACGGCTGCTCCCTGCTGTCCTCTGAGGTGAGGATCTCACCCAGGCAGGAGAGCGTGGTCCCAGCTCAGGAAATTGGTGGAAAAACCAGAGACGAGCTTTGCTGCTGGAGGGTGGCTCAGGCTCACAGTCAAGGTCTCTTGGATGCATCAGTAGCTTTGATTTGATAAGTTTTATTTTTTGTGTGTGTGTGTGTCCTTGTTTTTTTCAAAGACTTCCCTTTGATGTAGTTATTTCTTCAGTTTTTTTTCTTTCAATTGCTATAAAAAATTTTTTCCATGAAATAAAAGAAGAATAACCCAGCACATTCCTGTTTCCGCCACTCCAAGGCAACGGCTGCTCCCTCCGGGGCCCCTGTGCTTTTCCTGGGAAGACAGTAATGGAATGTGGCAGAATGTTCGGGAGGTAGATGCAGCTCTTGACCTCAGGGGAATAACTTCATCCCTCTGTGCCTCAGTTTCCTCATCCAGATGATAAAGGGAAGAATAATTGCTCTGCGTACGGCCACTGCAGGAGTTAGCATTTGTAAGGCGCTTAGAGGGTGCGTGGCCCTTAGCAAGTGCCCTGTGTGCATTTCTTAGGTAAGACGTGGAAATAAACAGAAAGGCCAGGGCACCTCAAAACCGCCAGGGCAGGACGGGCCAGCTGTGGAAGTCTGTTAGGGTCAGAAACCCAGGCTCCAGTCCCAACTCTGCTCACACCCCACTGTGACCAGGAGTGGTCACATGGCTTCTCCAGGCCTCGGCTCCTCCCCTGAGAAATGGAGTGTGCCATGCTACAGCCACACGGGTGGGGGTGACGGTGTGAGTGCAACAAGCAGAGCCCCTGCCCCCTGCACCTCAGCCCACCTTCACCCATTTTCTCAGTTTCCTGCTCCATGTAGTTAGGGGAACACGGCTCGGCACCCCATTTCTAATGGCTGAGTAATAGTCTCTTGGTTATTTTTGGTACTGGGGATTGAACCCAGGGGTGCTTAACCACTGAGCCACATCCCCATCCCCTTTTAAATATTTTATTTAGAGACAGGGTCTCACTAAGTTGCTTAGGGCCTCGATAAGTTGCTGAGGCTGGCTTTGAACTCGCAATCCTCCTGCCTCTGCTTCCTGAGCCGCTGGGATTACAGGCAGGTGGCACCACGCCCGGCTTGAGTAATATATTCTTTAGAGGAGAGGGTCGTGATTCCCTTGTCCCCTCCAGTGTGGGATGTGTTGGCAGGCTCCTGTTATATAACCCTGCAGTGAACAGGTGTCTTTCCCTCTGGGGACGATTTCCCCAGACAATCTTGGGGACTTTCACTGAGTGCAGGCCAGGGGCAGCAGCTGGGAGAAGCAGGTTCAGTCAAGAGTTGCCTGACACCCTTCCCCAGGGGCGGCAGTGTGGGGATCAGGGCGCCGTGGAGGGTGGGGTGGGAGTCAGAGGAACCAGGTTCTGCATCTGCCTCTGCCACCATCCTGCGGGCGACTGTGGGAAAGTCCCCTCCGCTCTCTGGATCTCCGTTTCCTATGGACTGTGGCTGGGAAGGGCATGAGAGTTGGCCTGAGCTATGTTGTCCAGTACCGTAGCCACGGGCCACCTGTGGCTATTGAAATAAAAATGTAAATTAACACAAGGAAAGAAAAAATCAGTCACAGCATTTCCATACGAGCCCACGGCTGGTGCCCACCGTGGGGGACAGAGAACACAGGTACAGAACACCCGCCGGGGGGCTGGGCTGGAGCCCATTCCCAGGTCCGCTCAGCCCTGATGTGCTGCCGTCCTGGATCCCCGTCCTTGTGCCGTGGTGGGGAGCCACCTGGAGCTCGGGGCGCGAATCCAGGCCTAAGGAGTTGGTGGGACCTGGAGGGACCTGGGGAGGGTGACTTCCCAAGGCCAGGCCTCTGGAAGGGTGGTGTGGAATCACCACGCCCCGTCTCCCTCCCAGAGGCCTCCGGTGGCCTGGAAGAGAGGCTGGGGTCCAGAGGGTGGCCCGTGATGGGCCCAGAGACCTGGTGCAAAGGCAGAGTCTGTGGCCCCTGGTCCCCGAGTGCAAGGGCACTTGGACACGCAGGACTCGCTGTCCACGCCAGAAGCACAGCCCTCGTTCCCCAGGTGGAGCGCCGTCCCCATTAGTATGTCTCGGGAAGTCCAGACTAGGGACCACAGGGGGCTGCCTTGGTCTGCAGGGCCGCTCTGGCTGCCTCCGCCCTGGGCTGAGTCCGGCCTCTGCAGAGGCTGCCCAGCAGCCTGCAGGGACCTGGGGAGGGGGACTAAGACGCCAGGGCGAGGAGCAGATGAGGGACTCGCCCAAAGTGTGGCCCCATCCGCCGACTCCCTGGGCCCATGAGCCCCTTGTCCTCCACGGGGACTCCACTGCTCACTCTCCGTCCCCTCTTCTCTAGGACCCTGTGGCCATGTCCTGGCGGCCTTGAGCCTGTGGGCTGCACGGCCTCCTGCCCACATCTCCAGACCAGCTCCCGAGCCTGCTCTTCTCCCCACCCTCCTGGAGCTTCAGGACAGCAGAGAACAGCAGCAGTCACGGTAGGTGACCTCCCCAGGCTGCCCACTCCCTGGCTTGAAGGAATACCTATGCTAGTTGGTCCCTAGAAGAGGGACCTTTCTAAACACTATCTGTCAGAATCCCTTAGGTTATAAAGAGCAAAAATAAAAACAAAACCAAACAAGAACAACCTATTTTAATAAACTAAAATTATCAGCTCATGTAACCAAAATGATAGGCTGGGCTTCAGGCAGGGCTTGATCCAGTGGTTCATGTGAACGGGATCTGGTTTCTGCCTACATTCCTTCATGCTTTTTCCTTGGTGATGGCTGACCCTAGTGACATTTGACGTGATCTGGTGGAAAGATGTCGTTTCTGGGGCAGTGTGCTTCTAGGTTTAAATCTGGGGTTGAGGGTGAAGGAAAAAAAAAAATCTGCTTCCATGCTAGAACAGATAAAAGATCAACAGTAGATGTCTTTGGACTTACTGGCCGTGTTTGGATTATCCTGAATCTTTGACTGTGTCCACCAGGCTGGGTCTGGGGTCACGGTCTACTGACCTTCCCTAACCATGTGATCAGTAAGGAAGAAAGAATGTTTCCAAGGATGTCAGAAGGACTTTTAGGGACTTTCTGACTGGAGAAGGGAGACTTCTTTCCAACTTGGAGAGACAAATAACAAATGATCATGATAGATGGAGTCTGCCCAGGTGGGACAGCTTGCGGCCAGTCCTAGATAGATATGAACATGCTGTGAATGCTTAGACAGATTCCTATGCCTCTCTGAGCTTCCGTTTCCTTACCTGATAACGTCCTTAACTAGCAGGGGTGCTATGGGAACTACCAGAGATGATGTATGAAAACACCAGCTTCTAGCAGGAACTTAGTGAGTCCTTCTTCCCCTTCCTACCTCTGTCCCCAGGGAGTTTGGGACATCTCTATTTTCTTCACATTTAGAAGGGGCTGCCTAGGAAATGTCACGGTCTCCAAGGAGGGGGGAATGGTGGGCTGCGAGGCTCCACATCCAGCCCCTGGGGAGGGGGGTTCTGGCTGTCGAGGGATCTGTCCAGGCCACCAGTTAGCACAGGATGGCAAGCCTGTGTCCCCGACCTTCTCTCCCCAGAGATCCTCTTCTCCGCTAACCCTCAGCCCTGTGGTTCCTCGACCTGTGATGCCTTTCTTGCTCTCTACTCATCCTGTTTTTCTCTTTTTTAATGTTATTGTATTTTTTATACATTTGATTTTATTTATCTTTACGTGGCGCTGAGGATCAAACCCCGGGCCTCACACATGCCAGGCGAGCGCTCTACCACTGAGCCCCAGCCCCAGCCCCCATCCTGTTTTTCCAGGGCCACTTCAGGTCCCTTCTTTTCCACGAAGCGTCTGCTGACTGTTCCAGCCAGTGGTTATCTCCCCTTCCAGGTAGGAAGACCAAGGCTCAGTGTGCCTTTTCTCACAGAGATTCTACTGGTTCCTGCATCAGTGCCGAAGGGTGTTGCTCTTTTTGCCTTGACTGCTAGGAAGCTCGTAGACAGTTGGTGGTCCATCTCTGATAAGTATTCAGGGTGAAAGTTGCCCAATAACCTTATCTCTTATTTTGCCTTCCTTCTTCCAATGTTTTCCTTGTCCTGATTTCTGCTCTTCCTTTTTAGCTTGTGATTCGGTTCTCAGTGGCCTCAGAGTCTTTGGGAGGAGGCAGGTCTAAATCACCAAGAGTGGTGGTGAACAAGACATTGACACCGACTGTAGCCAAATGTGAGGTCTTTGCCTTCCTAGGGCCAGCTGGGGTAGGGGCTCTCCCCGGGCCGGGGTGGGGCCTGTCTACCAGGAGACACCAACGCCTGACCGTGGTGGCCTGGTACAATGCCCGCCCTGCCCTCCGTGGGCTGGGATCCGCTCTGTTCGGCTCCCAGCCCTCTTCCCTCCTCCCTCCCCGTCTTATCAGAAGCTAATGAAAGAGGCTGGGAAACCCAATCCTCTGGTAATTAAATTTACTTAACGGGTATTCAAGTGGAGTAATGAGAAGTTTAATGCAGTGATTAGATTTTTCTTTAATTAATTAAAATGAGAGCCATGTGTCTTGCCAGCAAACCAACTTGACCCCATGCTTGAGAGCGGCCGGCGGAGGCAGTGGGCTGCTTGGCCAAGTGGGCGGTGGGTCAGGGCGACGCTGCCCCGCCCTGGCGTGGCGTCCTCCGGAGTCAGCCTGGCTCCGATGTCCACTCAGGCCAGCCAGCTCCTGTTTCTGAGCCTCACAAGCACCAGGGACTGTCACCCGGGGCCCAAGGATCCAGTCCCCGACTTTGTCAGACAGGAGGGTCAGCCAGGGGTGCGGGAAGGGAGAAGGAGGACGACTTCCGTCCCTGGCAGGAGGAGGTAGCTCAGGTGGCGCATCTCAGTGCCACCAGCCAGTGGGTACCTTGGCCTGCAGGTTCCCCCAGGCCCGGGTCGGCCCTGATCATCCGGGCTCACAGAGGTGGGGGAGGGTAAGAAGAAATCTGAGACCACCCACAAAGCACATCCCCCTCTGGGCTTGGAGATAGGTCCCCAGGAGGCTGGCCAGGCGCTGGTTCCTGGAGGCCCAGGGCAGGCGTGGAGACGCACTCCCTCCTCCAGCTCCTCTGCCGTGGCCAGGCAGTGGCCCCTCCAGAGGGGACCTTTCAAAGCAGCCGGTAAGCTGGGAGAGTCCTGGGCTTGCACAGTGTGGGCGGGAAACGTCCTTGTTGAGCTGTGGGCCCTGCTCCTGGACAGACTGGACCGTGGTCCTGGTCCTACGCTGAGCTCTGACCACACACTGGGCCAGCGGAGGACCAGGTGCTGGGGTGGGAGGAGTGGGTGGCCCTGGCTGACCATTCTGCCAGCTCCGCTGGCTGTGGGCACGACTGCTGTGCCAGAGCCCACTCGGAAATGGCCAAGACGAACCAGGCACTGTCCCTGCCCACAAGGCTGGTGGGGAGGCCAAAAAAAAACTTACCAAATAAAACAGAGATAAGAGCACCAAGTGCCCAGAGCTCGGGAGGGGGTGGCCCAGGGCATGGGTGGCATTTAGAGCAGTCCTCGGGAAGCAGGCGGGAGGTGGAGGTGCTGGAGGCTGGATCAGGGCCACTGAGAAGTGAGGAGGGTGGCACCTTGCAGGACTTGGTGGCCACCCTAGAACTGGCCGTGACCCTCATTCATGATGAGCCAAGGAACTCGTGAGTCAGGGGTGACCACATGCTGGACACTGGGCTGGTGAGGACAGCGTTCAAGGGAGGCTCGTGTGTCCGTTTCACAGAGGAGGACACCGAGTGCAGCCCTGGCGGGTGCTGCTGGGCCTGAGGCAGCCAGGCGGGCGGTTCCAGGCTGCACATGGTGTCCCGGGTCCCGTGTCCTGGGAGCTAGCTGAGAGCTGAGGTCTCGCTTCTTGCCCATCCTTCTTCCCCACCTGGGTGGACACAGCCTGGGCCCTGGCAGGGTCCCGGGAGCCTGGCTAGTCAGACTGGCAGCCAGGTCTGTGGGTGGGGGTCTCCGGCTGCAGCTGGGGTCAGGGTGGGGGAAGTGAGGTGGGCCTTGGTGGGGCAGGGACTGGGCATGGGGCTGAGGGACTGCCCCAGGAGTGAACGTCTTCTGCTTTCTTCCCTGGGACGCCCCACACCCCTTCTCTCATTCCAAGGCTCAGCCCTTTCTG